AGATGCTCTATGAGGGTTAAACATTCGGTCACTGACTCCCTGTGCTTTGGGAGTTCTGGGTATGCATTAACCCCTGCCCACTGCAAAAAACAAAAATTTTGAAGAGCATAACACCTTACCCCACATGACTTTCCGAGTCAGTGCCAGTTTCATTGTAACCCCCACCTTTCCCAGCACATTGGTAATGCTTTCTGAACTGCAGGGTACTCAACAGATGTCTTTGAGTTTGGATATTTCCTCACCAATTCTGCTAGCATGAATGTCTCCTATGGTCCATGGGAAGGGATAGGATGAATAAGTGGGTGGATCCCTTGGGAGAAAGGGCTTCAAAAAAAGTCCTCTGTATTTCCCCATATACCTATGCTGGGGCCACAGACTAGTGATAGGCTAAAGCCAGAAGATGTCACCAGGACAGAAAGCTCAGCATGTGAAAGGTTAGTTTAGGGTTGCCAAGGAAGAAGGGGAGAGGAATTAGGTGGAGAAGAACAGAGAGAGTTGGCGGTAAGAAGGAACAGTGGGAAGATTTGAACCCCCAGAGCCAAATGTTCAAAGTGATGTTGGCTTGACACATGCATATATTACCATGTACTAAACAGTGGGGTACCAGTTCACATATGGCTGTCTCTGAATCCACACAGCATTTAAAAACATTATTACTTCTTCATTTTATTAAGACCTAGGACCTCAGAACATGTTGTCTGAGGTCACAGAGGGAATACCTAGAGCTTAAGGACTTAAATACCTGTGTAGATTGATCCCACATCCTAAGAAGGTTAGCATTAATTAACAGGGCAGGCAGATAACCAAGGAGAGCCCATCTCAAAATATCATCTAGCTACAGGAGGTGGGAATCAAAAGGGGTGGGCTTTCTAGGGTACAAAGGACAACAACTTGTTTAGAAATGGGATTTTGCAAGACTTTTAATGCTGCAACTTTACTGTGGCATTAGAGTTTTGTTGGAGCATTAGTCATACAATATGTTAAAAATACTGGAGTAAGAGTGAGTCCCAGTGTGCACTGAAAATGATTGAAAGACTTTAAATAAGGGCCAAATGGGGACAAGTCAGGAGAGGAGGGGGGGAGTGTAAGAAGGTGTGTGTGCGTGTGTGTGTGTGCATGTGCATGTGCGCGTGTGTGTGTGTGCGCGCGCGCGTGTGTGTTTATTTGTGTGAGAGAGGGGGTAGTAGGATTGGAAACAATTAGTGTAGGCAGAATGGGCTGTGTGAGAAGCTCACTCTCAGCTCAGGCTGTCTCCATGGCTAGAAGATGAGCAGGTATTTGTATCAGACAGAAGAACTCCCCTCCCACTCCTGTGTCCCACTCAGCATGCATCTGACTAGTACTTTTCGTCTGTCCATCTTTGGTTGCTTTCCCACAAAGAAATTTCAACCATGAAACTTACAAGCCCCTGCTTGACCTGGACCACCCACCTTCCCATACCACATCTCAGACCCCAGCACTAACGGTTCTGCTTGCAAGAGCCAAGGCTCTCCCTACTACGGTGATTTTGTGTATTCTCTTCTCTTTACAGAGAACACTCTTTCTGACACCTCTCAAGCACTTTCCTAAGTGAATTGCCCTTGGGGTCTGTCACTTCACAACTGCTTTTTCTCAGTTGCTCTCAAGGACACTACAACTGTATATATTTCTTTTTCATATTCTTCTGAGTCCTTCCTTCACTAGATTATATATGTTTCAGGAGCGGAAGAACTATATCTGTCTGCTCTATTCAGTACCAAAGGATGCATTCACCTATTTCGCAAATACTAGCTAACCATTTCTTATAGTGTTCAGGATGGCATACTTCCTTCAGAGTGTGGACTCCAGCTAAGAAGAAAAAAAAAACCCTGCATTTGGGATGGTTTGCTGTGGTCTCTGCTGTCAGAAGAATGGTCACAGTCACAATCAAAATCAGTACGAACAGGGAGCATTTCATACATTGTTGATGACTTGGGCATGGTTTTGAGATGGAAGGATGCACGAGGGTGAAGTAACATTCTGTTTGTCATGGAAGGCTGGGTTAAATTGAGCTGAGAGGACTTTAAGAATTGAGGTGGCGTCTTACCCTTAGTCTTTCCACAAACAACACGGACCAATCTCTCTTGGATACATGGCTTAGCTAACAGATGAGGTGCTGTGCATTGGACTGATGGAGATTCCTCCCCAAGGGACATTGTAATGGAGAATGGGAAGGTGGGACCTGGTATTGGTGACAAGTGGGAATCTGATGTCAAGGCAGGGCATCGCCGAACCTGGTGTCTGTCTAAAGATTTGACTGTCCGGTCATTTTGTGTTTTTCCTTTAGGCTGTGGGAATGTCTTGGTATACAATGTGCATTTTAAAACCTTTTTAAATATTTATTTATTATGTATACAATATTCAGTCTGTGTATATGTCTGCAGGCCAGAAGAGGGCACCAGACCTCATTACAGATGGTTGTGAGCCACCGTGTGGTTGCTGGGAATTGAACTCAGAACCTTTGGAAGAGCAGGCAATGCTCTTAACCACGGAGTCATCTCTCCAGTCCCCAATGTACATTTTTTTTTTTGCCTCATCATATAAATCCTTCAATCCTCTAGCCTACTACACATGCTTCATCTCGTGAACGTAGAGTTGTAGGAACAAAGGGATTTGACGAGAGAGATAGGATCTTGCTCACCTGTCTTTTCCTCCAAACTCATCACGGTAGCAGCATTCTCCCATGCTGTGGAAGGGCACAGACTCCACTCTCCAGCAGAAGAGGAAGCTGAAGTGGGTCTGTGAGTGGGTGGCAGGGGGTCACTGCTCAGACTGGAGACGCTGCTGTCAGGTGGGTAGTGCCCGAGAGGAAAGTTCTCTTCCCAAGTGTATGTGAGCCCTATGTACTGCCTTACTCCCGGGACATGTGAGGAAGAGGGACACTTTCCTCCTCCTCTTCCTTCTCCTTCTTCTCTTCCTCTTCTTCCTCCTCCTCTTCTTCCTCCTCCTCCTCCTCTGCACCTGGAGCCTTCTGTGATCTTTAGATGCTTGATTTGTTAGGAACTTACAAAATTTCCATGTATTCCTGTGAAATGATTCTTCTCATTAGGCCAATCCGAGGCTCCCCCACTGTCAAGAGGGAGTGAGGAGAGGATGACACTAGGTCAAGCATTGTTGATCCCCTTTAGAGAAATGCCGGGGTGATATGCCTATAAACACGTCCACACATTCCAGGATACACTAAAGGAAATGTCCATCTGTGCAGTGTGTGTGTGTGTGTGTATGAGTGTGTGTGTGTATGAGTGTGTGTATATGTGTGTGTGTGTGTGTGTGTGTGTGTGTGTGTGTGTGTGTGTGACGGAGGCAAGAGGAGGGCCTTGCCTCTCCTGGAGCTGGAGTTACAGGGGGTTGTGATCCACCCAACATTGGTGCTGGGACTTGAATTCTGGTTCTATGGAAAAGCAGCAAACCCTTTTATCCACTGAGCCATCTCTCCCGTCCCCATAGGCATTTAGCATATGGATAATATGTAACTACAGACATACTGAGAACTTTCAGGCAAAGCGTCTTCTCTAGGGAGAGTAAATTGCTGAATAAAAGAAGCAGCCAGGTTTCCAACAGACTCCATTTCTTTATTCATATTCCTGTTCTCTAGCCTCTCTGAGCTTTTTCAACAAGGCAAACTCATCTCAGCTTGTACAGTGTGTAGTGGTGACACCTATTTTCCATCTTTGAGTCTTGCTGGTAGTTATCCAGTTATCACAGGGAGGAAGAATCATGTGGCTGGGGAGGATGCCTGCAGAGGCAAGTGAATTTGACTCAAGTGGTTTTCCTGTCTAAAGTTCATGAATCTATTCCAGGAGAAAAGAATATAACGTCACCTCCCCAGGACAATAGCTAACCAGGCTGTCCATCAAATGGGATGTTTGTCTTGGTATTTATTAAAATCTCTTTACCCAGTAACCTCAGAACCAAAATAGTACAAGAATAATCAAAAGTGTCGAAGTGACATTACAGGTGCTTCTGTAATCCTGATGGTGGTCACACATTTCCCTGGAAATACGTGCATACGTGTGTGTGTGTGTGTGTGTGTGTGTGTGTGTGTGTGTGTACACTGTGTATACATAGTTACATGTATACATGTGCCCACAGTACTCAAAGAATGGCTATAACCACCTCAAATGGAGAACTTCTCTAGTCTAAGATTCTACACTTTAAGTAACAGCAGAGGCAAGATTTTCACGGCACATTTGAGGGCAGCATCTGTACCGGTCCTATGGTGTCTGTGAATGGTTTCACTATATAAGCAGCTAAGTGTGTCCTGATTTGATTGTGGAGCAAAACAAAGGAAGCAGCTTTTGATCTTCCTTTCCAAACCTCTGCATGGCTAGGATGTCAGGCAAGGCCTGTAAAAGGCTGAATGCTTTCTCCCATTCCTGTCCCTGGGGAGGGAGGTCTGACTGCAGAATCCACCCGGGATTTGTGTTGGAGTTCCAGTGTTTAAGATCAGTAAATGTTTTGAGCAGGGTTTGTCCCAGAAAGACTTGTATATCGGCATAGCGGCACTCAAGGGTCCTCAACTCAGTGTTCAGGCTGTGGACAGTTTATTTGAAAATTTGAGTTTAAATTCCTATCCATAAGCAGCTGTGGTTGGCTTTGCCCGATTCCCTGCACAGACCATGCTTGTAGCCATACTTTATCGCACGGACACCCGTGCCTGGCCTCCGTGCAGTACCTTCCAGCAGCCCTGAAGGATCTGCAGCGACCCAATTGCAATGTCTGCAGCTTTTAGTATAAGCTCCCACCCTAGAAACCCAGTGCAGAGTATTTTGTCAACACAAAAATACTGTCAGAGGCTCGTCACATTCACAGCGTGTGGCACAGTATCAGCGATATAATCCCTAAGGTTTACAAACTAGCATGAGCAAATATGCCTGCCTCCGTAGAGACAATGCTACTCCATAGTAAGGCTTTAGAGACGAACTCAGTGAAGGATCACACAACCGCTGAGAGTCTTACTAGATAAAATACAACTGAACAGATATTTCTCTATGTTTAATTCCTACTGGATGGAAAAGGTAGTGAGGAAATAAAAATGAATTGTGCCACTTCTGTGCTTCGTTTAGTAATAGCAGCAGCAACTGTCACAAAGGGTTCCAGAGCTGGAGAGCATTAGGGCTGCAAAACAAGCCAAGAGAAAACCCAGGAACAGAAAAAAAGCAGGGCAAGCTGCATCACGACACACAGTCCTTGTGCCATTGAAGCTTTCGACTCCCCCAGAATGTTCCCAAATGACTTCTCATCATGTGTGACATTTGCTAAGGTGAAGTTAAAGAAAAACATCTAGCCGATTTTAACCTCCATTTGGAAACGTTGTGTGATAAATCTAAGTTTTTCTTTCTCTCTCTCGCCTCTTATATACCATCCCTGCCTTATCTTTTAAAACAGAAAATATTAGTCTTGTTTTGTTCTGTTTCTACTGACTCAGTCTCAGGGATTTGGAAGAGCCTCTACCCAGCATTCCCAGCAGTCCACTCAGCTGAGTCTGTAGTGTCCAACACAGAGCTGACCAGCCTCCAGGCTGGCCAAGAGCTTTGGGCAGAATCCCACACCTCAATGTTTGTGTAAATTTCTGTCAGCGTTGGCTCCTCCTCTCACAAACAGAACGCATCCTGAGCAGAAGAGAAATAAACCATGAAAGCGGGAAACGCAGCTACCAGAGTGATCGTTTCTTTCATGCAGCAGCTTCTTCTGCCTGGAGAAACCAAAGCCATGATCATTTGGCCTGCCGTCCTTCCATTTCCTTCACGACGAGAGGTTTGAAAACGTGGACCTCTGAGAGGAGATGCTACAGACTTCTAAATTGGTGAAAGAGCTCCCAGCATCACTTGGGTACTCCGGGTAGGAGGAACTGGAGGAGATGATGTTTTTCAGCCTCTGGAGGGCAATGATCAGCAGCAGGAGCAGGAAGGCGAGGAGGCTGAGGAAAATGGACACATAGATGTAGACGTTGGACAGGTGGCCCGAGGACGGGTCTACCGAGGTGGACAGCGACGTGGGAAACAGCTCCAGAAAGGTTCCGTTCTCCACACTCCCTGCAAAGGCAGAGGAAGGGTCAGCCCCAGACATCTCTACAGGCAGGGGAGGCAGGTGTGCGTAGGTGCACTCGAAAGTCTCACACTGGGCTCAGGATCGATGACATTGGCATTGCTTTTCCTTGAGGACAGCGCAGCGAAACGTCTTGGTCCTTAAGCAAAGGCAGCATCGGGGATCAGCTGTCCGCAGAGACTGCAGAAACAACAAAGGCACAGCTCAGTGCACGTGTCAGGAAGTAACACATCGGTCATCGAGTCTTTTAGTCTTTCTCTCAGGGAGGCTTAATTATGAAACCCACCAGGGAGGGGAAAGAATGAAATAATTCCCTGAGAGACAAGTAATGTTTATGTCTTTTTTTTAATTATTATAAAAGAGATGTAAAAATGAGCTTCACAGGATCCTAGATGCCAGGTTTCTCCAAGGAACTTGAAAGAAAGTAAAAAGAAAAATATACACCTGATGTCTTCCATTGTGATGCTACCAGATTCTCCAAGTGGATGCTCTGAGACGGGAACCAAAGTTCAGATCCAAAACTCCCTCCCCCATAAAAATCAACGCCACACAGGCTACACACAGCCCACTCCTGACAAACACAGGACCCAAGGTGTGCTTTTTGTTTAACGTTTTGATTTATTAATAAAACTTTCTTGCCATGCGGTCAGGGTTCACTCTTACGTGATTCTCTTTCTTAAGGTCAGATTGCCTCTGAATAATGGAGACTGTACAGGGTTTGCGAGCAAGGCGTTTTAGTTTGAGACCCAAATGACTCACCATCCCTTACCCTTTCATTGAACCTTAACTTTCAGAAGAGAGAAACTTTCAGTATTGTTCTTATATGTTACTGTCAACTGATTGAAAGTCTGAAGGGGACTGGAATCATTAGAGTGAATTAATATGGAAGATAGAAAAGGAGAAGACGAGCTGTCATTATGCTGCATGGGGTTTCCTTAAGATTATTTCTGTTTTGAGGCAACCACAGAGACCACAAACCTTGTCAAATTCCAGAGAATCCGTGTATGCAATGGTGTACGTAGTCAAAGTTGTTAGTTCTACGGTGAAGCCCATACACCTAAGGTTCGGGGACATTGCAGGAAAGGGAGCAGGAACATCTGCTGTGCGGCAGTGTCTTCTACAGGTGGCAGAGAAGCTGTACCCATGGAATCCCAACAAGACGCGCACAATGATGACACCAGTTGACTTGCCAACGTGGACGGGGAAATCTCACAAGGCCCCAACCCTAGCTGAAGAGATACAGGCAATCCGTGGCTGCTGAGAGAGAAAAGTGGGTCTTCTTCACAGTTGAATACCCTGAGTTATCCAGTTTCAAGGGTTCAGCCCTAAACACATGTACATAAGAGAAACACTAAATGGACTCAATTGTGTGTGTGTGTGTGTGTGTGTGTGTGTGTGTGTGTGTTTCTAAGGAGTATGGAAATAGAATGCTTTCATGTTACTCTGGAGCAAAGAAAGGGTCTTCATTTTGTGAGAGATATAGCCTTAATAAAGAATATCCCTCCAGGTAGAAAATTCCAGAACTTTCTTCAGGTCCATGAAAGAGCTCTTCCTAGCTCCTTCTGGCATGAGGCTACTTTTCTCTACGTCTTACTTAAGTGTGGTAAACTGGGGTGACACCGTGATATCCACTCTGTCCCTGGCTTTCCCTCCTAAACACTGCCCCATGTTTTACCCAAGAACCTGCCCCCTTCGTCTTTTCTCTAAATCTAAGAGACAGAAGCTTTAAGTGGATGGTACTTGCTGCTGGGGCCAGGACTGTCAGTCCCTGGATCAGGGACACCTCAGAAAGGGTTGTCTCTGTCAGGTTTTTACACAGAGTAATGAGTCTGGCTGAGTGCCTCAACCTGGGCTAGCAGCAATGTCTTACTAGTTCCTAAAATAATTAGACTCCCACTTCTCACTCTGCTTTGCCTGGTGTTTTTAATTCTATTAGGCTGCTGCAGGCTCCTAACCATCCTTTCAAAATAAAAATGACGAAAGAAGTTATAGTGGGAGCACAAATGTGTCACCCTGGCCTGGCAGCAGCCAGCCGTTCCTCAGTACTTCCATCATCCAGCCATTTGTTTCTGGGGACTAAAGCTAAGGGGTCTCAGAGGCAGGATAATGCAGGAAGAGAGAATTAGTATAAAAGCCCGACAGACGATAGCAGAAAGGTACCCCAGATATCCTGGCACAACCAAAGTGCAGCCGGGGAAAGAGGAGATGCATAGACGATTTGACAAGAGTGAGATTTGTAGGTAGCAGATAAGTCCCAGCATCAGGAATCTGTGAATCCCCACCGTCTACCATCTGCTCTTCATTCTTCGGTTGTTTTGGTGACAAGGCCCATATTCCTCTTCTGGAATGAGCAAAGAGGATAAGGATTGGGCACCCCCTGTCCCTCAAAACACTTTCCAGCGAAGGTAGGGTAAGGATAGCACCCACTTTGCAGATGAGAAATTGAGGGGCAAAGACCCTGAGGTTTACTTGGGGTGCATAGCTAGGCAGTGAGAGAACCAGAACCACGTTTGGATTGTATCCTTGATTTCCTCAATGGTGTATGAAAAAGTCAAATGACAAGACTTGGGTAATTGGCTCCTAGCTGTCACTCCACCATGGACAAGTTTACAGATTGAGTTTCTTTTGGGACAAACTCTTGTGTGTCTCAAGGTGAAAGGACTGTGCCAATACCCAATGCAATACTTGTCTTGAGATATCAGTTATTTCCTGCTTGTGCGGTAATGATTGCCTTCCTACCACTCCAGGTAGGCCTGAGCAAAGATAGTTCTGTTCCTATTATCATCCCAGGAGAGAAAGAAAAAACAAAGACCTTCCCAGGTAAAACACCAGGCTGAGAAACAAGTGGTGCTTTTGAAGTCTCTGCCAGCCTCACAGGTCTAACATGAGGTCACACGTTTAGCTGGAATTGACAGGTTTTTCCTCAAACTTTTTCTGCCACTCAAATTAGTATCATTTTCTTATGTTGGAAGCACAGGCCATGTTACCGTGGTACCATGGTAAGGCTTGCTGTTGTGACAGAGATCTCTCTTTTAAGGGTAACTGTCCTGAGAGGATCTTTTTACTTCCCAAAGATTACCTTCTGCCCAGAAGCCTCATCTATCTATGGAACAGATTGCAGAAAATGCTAAGAAGCTATGGGTTTCCTGCGTGGCCTTAGGATAATGGTGGAAAATAAAAGCAGAAAAATCTCTGTGTCTTTATTCAATGTTACAGTAAAATATTTTCTGCCTTGAAAGCCATCTTCCTAATATTGCAAATTGAGTATCATTTCCAGATTGTTTCTTAATGTAAAATGACAGCAATCCACATTTGATCTCATTGTTCTACTCCAAAACAACTGAGTACATGCATTGTTGGAGCTGACTTTAATTTGGTGACATCGATTCTCATTTCCCTATTAGAGTTCTAAAAAAGCTGGCAGATCCTCTTTCTATCTGGCGAACGGTTTAGCCAGTGGTAAGCACATAATGCTGGTGATGGCCAAACCCATCCTCATTTAATGCCGTGGCAGGTGGCAGGGTGAAAAAGAAACCACAGGAGAGTGTTTCAGGATGGCCCTTCCCTGCTCTTTTTCACAGATGAGGCTAAAGCAAAGAAGAAAGTGGTTTCATCTTAAATGCATTGCCTTGGGGCAGCTACAACAGTGTTTTATCGAGAGTCATACTTAGATTCAGGATAAGCTTTTGATTTTTTTTTTCAGAGTCATCCTCAGACAGCAGATTTTTTTTTTTGAGGCACCTGAGACAGTTCATGGCCAGCCACATCTTTCTTTGTTTCTTGGAATAAAAACTTGTCCTGGGAAGAAACACTCCAAGGGTAGTGAGCGATCTACGAAAGCCAGCAAGGTGGAACTTGCCATGCTCTCCATGGACTCAGTGATATGGGGGATGGGAGGACAGCACACACAAGATGAGGTTTGTTTACTCCTGTGGCACCGTGCCCAGCCTCTCTCATGGACAGTGGCTACTTTTTTCCCACAAGATGGTTATAAAGAGAGCAAGTTGAATCTTTTTCTCTACCTTTTGAAATAGAATCTCACTAGACTGCCCAGGCTTGCTTTGAATGTACAATTCCCCTGCCTTAGTTCCCGAGAGCTAGCACACATTTCCATGCCCATGAGATTGTGATGGTTTGGAATGAACCTCCCTCATCTCAAGACTTCTCCCACCCCACACAGGATGAGCTCTGTGGAGGAGGGGTGGCGTGTGAGCAGAGACTTGACATGGCCCTGAATTCTAACACAGTGGTTTGTGAAACCCAGCCTGACAGCCAACCTCCATTGTGCTACTGGCTCTGTGCTGGGCTCTAAGGCTGCTGTTCAAATTTCTATGTGGGTAAGAAGTATTTAAAGCTTTGTTGTTGTGGAAAACAGGGACAGACTACTCTGTATCCTTGCAGCCAATCCTTAAACCATGATCTAGCTATTATGCTCAACAAAGTTACGGCAACATGTCATCAGTATCACGTCCTGCTGGGCCATACGGAAAGGCCTTGGAAAGTTAGAACTGTGTGAGGAGGTGCTTACGCGAGTGGCATACTCCTGCCCAGATGTACAATGAAATACTGTAATGCAGTTGATTGTCTCAGGTGATGTATCAGTTATCTTTCTCCCATCCAACAGTTAGGAACTACTATTGCCAGAATCCAGAAGAGATTTTACTCCAAGATCTGAGCAAAGCTGTTAGAAAGAAAACTTACTAGAACGAAGGATGTATTATATAAGAACTTGCATTTCCACCATCCCTTCCCATTTTGTGTAATTAACTTTTCTCTCATTCTTTCTCGTTGCCTTGGCCTTTAGATTGTGTGAGATGAGAGGGAGAGAGAGAGAGAGAGAGAGAGAGAGAGAGAGAGAGAGAGAGAGAG